AGGGGAGGGGAGGGGTTGAGCCTTCTGGGAGGATCAGAGGCAGTTGCTGCTCACTGAGTGTGTAGTGGAGGCGGATGTTCTTGGCTGAAAACCTGACAGATGTGAAGCTCACTGCTCAGTATTCTCCCCAGCCTGCCTTTCCCACCTGGTTCTTGAGCACTGGCAGCCAAACGCCTAGGTTTGAGATAGTAATTTGGGGACTTCTTTCCTGGAGAATCTGACCCATTCAGGAGAAAATACATCTATGGCTAGGAATGTGGCTCAGTGATAGAGTGCTTGCCTAGCTCTGGGTTTCATTTTCCAGTACCATGTACATAGAAAAAGCCAGAAGTGGTGCTGTGGCTCAGAGCACTAGCCTTGAGCAAAAGAAGCTCAGGGACAGTGCCCATGCTCTGAGTTCAAACCCCAGCCAGGACAAAAAACAAAAACAAAAAAAACACAAAAAACAACAAAAACCATCAAAAGATACAAAGATTGGGAATCCCCTGGAAAACAATTGTGTCCAGTCCTTTCACAGTGAAGGCTGTGGCTTTTAGCATCCCACATCTTGGTTCAGAGGATAGACTGACTGGTCAGGAAGTAGGTCCAGATATTTGAGGCAGGTATCTAATTTAACAGAGAGAAAAATCAAACACAAGTAGAAAAGAACTTTGAGGAAGCAGACTGTACAGAAAAAGGAATACTCCCAAGTACAATCATCTGAAGAATGGCTATTGTTATCCTGAAGCGTTAAGAGGTTTTCATCTGTAAAATAAAAAAAGAGCAGAAAAGGAAAGTTTTGGAAATGGAAGAAAATGAAGACACGGAAATGAGAGAACTAGCCCTGGAAACTAAGCATTTCAGTGTAGTACTGACTGGATAGCAAAATAAGTAAATCTGAAGAAAATATGTAAGCAAAGTTCCCTTGAGGATCTATATTGGAAGTACCTAACTCAGTGAATAAAAACATCTCCATATGAAGGCATATTATTTGAAATTTCTGAATACTGGAGATTAAAAACATCCAACAAGATTGCAGAGAGGAAAAACATTTCACAAGATGAAGAGTCATGATATTCAACTTGTCAACAGCAATACTTTGGAGAATTAACTGCCTTAAAAAATTCTGAGGGAGGGGCTGGGAAGGTGGCTCAGTGGTAGAGCGCTTGCCTTGCATGCATGAGGCCCTGGGTTTGATTCCTCAGCACCACATAAGAAAAAAGCCGGACGTGGTGCTGTGGCTCAAGTGGTAGAGTGCTAGCCTTGAGCTGAAGAGCTGAGGGACAGCGCCCAGGCCCAGAGTTCAGACCCCGCGACCGGACCCAAAAAAAAAAAATTCTGAGGGAAATTATTTCCTGTCGTTGACTAAATTTCTTATCTAGAATTTCACATCATAAACAAACTACTGATTAAATGTGTGAATGGAACATAGTCTTTTTCAGATGTTCAATTCACCAAAAATTTACCCCGCAACTTCTCTATTTTGGAGAGTTACTTCAGGATAAAGTTCATTGAAATGAATAACTCAGAAAACAGAGCTTCCCAGGGTAAATTGTGGTCCCAGATGAATGCTGTGTAGTGCGCCGAGGGAGCCTGAGGAGGCTGCTGAGGAGACTGAGGCGAAGGCAGGGGTGGTGGCACATCTGTAATCCTAGCACTTGGGAGGCCAAGGCTGGCCAGCTTGGAATATGTAGGAAGAGCCTATCTCAAACAACCAAAACCTCCAAAAGCAAAAAAACAACAAAAAACACCCCCAAACAAAACCACCACCACCAGCAGCAAACAACCTCCTCCCCCAAATTCAAAAAGGATGAAGTCACTAGTGCACCTCATATGTTAGAACTCTTGAGAAGAATTATGCTGGGGTAACAGGTGTGGGGGTTCCAGTTAGTTATAGATACATAGAAAACAAAAACAAAGAGGAAATGAACCCAATTTTCAATGGCAACACATGCTTGCAAGGAACAATCATGCTATTTTTCCTCTGCTGTGAGCAGCCTTTACATAGTCAAAATTATGTGACCACTGGGATTCTTTAAACCAATTGAAGAAGTGTAACAAAATATTTAAACCTAAATTCTTGTTTTTTTTGTTCTGAGACCAGCCAGGACTTGAAGTTGGTATCTCATGCTTTCTCATTGGCTGGTGTTCTACTACCTGGGCCATGCCTTTAAACCCTGAACCTAAATTTGGATGTGAGGTTATGTTAAAAGTGGAAAGTTGAAAGGGAACCCTTACTGCATTGTTGGTGGGAGTGTAAACTGGTCAACCACTCTGGAAAGCAGTATGGAGTTTCCTCAAAAGACTCCACATAGAGCTCCCCTATGACCCAGCAATCCGACTTTTGGGCATTTACCCAATCACAAACAAGGCCATACTAAAGCTACCAGCATAACTATGTTTATCACAACATTATTCACCATAGGTAAGATATGGAACCAACCCAGATGCCCCTTAGTAGATGAATGGATCAAGATATATATATAATGGAATTCTATGCCTCCATTAGAAAGAATGACACCACCCATTTGTTAGGAAATGGAAAGACTTGGAAAAAATTATATTAAGTGAAGTAAGCCAGACCCAAAGAAACATGGGTTCCATGGTTTTCCTTAACTGCAATAACTAGTATATGCCTAGGACAAGCAGAAGAGGTACATATGACCATATAACATGCTAAGTGAAATGAACCCCAAGATGGGAACACAAGAGATTTTTATCTTTCTTGTTCTTTTTAATGTACTTATAATGTACTATGTGGTTTTTTTTGTTTCTTTGTGTGTTTTTCTCCCATGGTATAACCCCTGTTTTTACTGTATTTGATTCCCGTGTCCTGCATCTTGTATATACATTTTTCTAATTTGGGGAGGGGAAGGGAAATAACAAAACGCTGAAATAAGGATACAGGATGACCTATTGTAACAATGAGATGTACAAGACAGTATGCTGAAAACAAGCTTTACAACTTTGCTGGGGGGGGGTGAGAGGGAGGAGGGAGGAGGTGGGGAGGTGTCGGGAGGAAAGGGATGGTAGGGGAAGAATAAAGGAGGGTGTTACAATGCTCAATAGAAAATGGACTCATTATCTTGCTCATGTAACTGTAACCCCTCTGTACAGTATCTTTACAATAAATATATATATATATTTAAAATAAAAAAGAAGAATTATGAAGAAACAGTTGTGAAAATTGCATGTCAGGGGAAGCTGTTGAATGTATTTCTACTATGGCTTGTAATTTGGACTGAATGATAACTAAAATATTTTATAACTTATAATTCAGTGTTAAGTCCTAAGTTATAGTAATACCTTTAAATATTGTATCATCTATAAAATAGAGTAGTTGATATTAAAAGTTGATACTAAAATAGTGTAAAGTTGCCTGGGGCATGGCTCATGTGGTAATGATCCCAAGTTCATCCTCAGTACCCTCCAACTGGAAAGTGTATGGATGGGAAAGGACATGGGAAAAGACAAGAACTTATCTTTCATAGGAAGGCAACAGATTGAAGCAGCAAAATAGGAGGTTGCACTATAGCATGTTACTTAGATTTGTGGAGGTCAATGGCAAAAGGAAGAATTAATAAAGAGAGCAGGAAACAGGAGGTTGGGATTGCCAGTTTTAGTAAGAAGCTTGTGGAAATTTTTGATTCTTAAAATTATCAACATCGTCACTGATAAAAATAAAAAGTAAATTAAACAATTTACTTCTGGTGTTTTGTGGTAATAAGTAGCTTATATTAAGTAGTAGAAGTATAAGTTATGGTATTTTAGTACATTTTGTATCATATTTTATGAAATGAGTTAAACAAGTTTTCATTGAGATGGTGAAAAAAAATCTCTGACAGTTGCAGATAGAGAATTGATTTGTTTGGGATAATTTGGGGAATACGTCTAAGTAAAATAGTATTTTAAGTACAAGATACAGTAAAAGTGATTCAGTGAAAAAAAAAAGAAATGCTCATGCATGAATAACGTGAGCCAACGTGCATTGTGCTTGAATGTTTTCCTAACATTTGTCATTGATAATTATTTGTGGATAGGTTTTTTTTTAACCAGGTGGGATAATGTCTTTACTGAATTAACTGAACTTTTCTGAATTTTCTCATGTCATTTATGTATTGCTTCAAAGGAGGAGAATGAGATGGAGACATTTGGTGCAACGGTAACCAATTCTGTTAGCTCTTACTTAGCTGGTTAGAGAATAAAAGGAGCTGGGCTGTGTCTGACCAGGCATTTCCGAAGTGTGGTGGAGAGTGAACTGTACTGTGATTCCTAGGATCTAGATTGAGAATGTTGTCTTGGCTTTGAATTCATGTTCTTTATAGTTAGTGCTGTGATTACCTTGCTTTTTTAAAATCTATCATTCTTTGTATCTAGAAATTTTATTAATTATTTCCCAGCTAGTGATTTGAAAAAGATAAGCATGATATATATGTAACATATTTCCTTTGTTATTCATATGCAAGAGCTCTGATTTTCTTTTTGTTTTATTTGTTCACAGTTTGTGCTAGTTCTTTGTAATTCTATTGGCACACCCTTGGATCCCAAATACATTGATATTGGTAAGGAAATGTTAATATTTATTTCCTCTTCAGGTTTTATGGATAACACTTAAAAAAACACAACAGTAGTATTAGTTAGAAAAGTATTCTTTAAAATAATAATGGCCATACTTGTAGTTGATTCTTGTTCTCATGGTAGGTTTTTAAAAATATTTTCAGACTGGGATTTGTATGTTTGCTATGTAGTTTAGGCTGACCTAGAGCCTACTGACCTGAAACTAATGATGCTCCTGCCTTATCCCTTTTAGTGTTGGGATTATTGGTATGTGTCACCATGCTGGCTTATGACAATATTGTTAATACCCCTTTTAAATCTCAGAAGCATCCTGATTCTAATACAATAAATTACAAGGTTACTCTAGCTAAAACCCATAATAATTTCATACCTACCATATTGTCTTCATTTGCTTTACATGGCAAGTATAATTGTAAAGGAATTGGTATGCAGCATAATGATTAGTGTGTAATAAACTAAGGATTATAGAAAGAATTTTGCTCTCAAACCATTTTTATTATTAATAAACTGCTTGTAAATACCTTTCTTCCATAAAAACACTTCAGCTGCTTGTAAAATGTGTTTGACTTTTCCAGAATTTTTTAATGAAATGAATCTATTAATGGGGACAGCTTTAAAAAATACCCATTTTTGTTTTCAGAATATATTTATAATTTTAGTTTTACCCTTTCCTCTATCCAATAGCTATGAAAGTAACCAATTAAAAAATTCCAAATCTTATTCAAAGAAAGTTGCTAAAATCATTTAGGAATATTTTATTGCCATTTTATTATCTTTCAAAAGTAGTAGTAGTTTTCTTTTAAAGTATATGGTAGCATTTTGGAAATGGTATGACCCAAATTATTCAGTATAAAAAAATGAAACACTAAATTGTTTTCTGACTCTGAAAACTAGTTTTTTTTTTTGATGAGACATTCAGTCTTAACAGTCAAATGTTAACGTTGTCTTCTAAATATATGCATTTTGTTTAGCTCTTGGAGTGACACCAGCAAGTATTTTTGGCCTCCAACACTTCATACTCCATGTTTAGGTTCTATCTACTCACTTGGATAGACTGAAACACTTCAACTTCCTGCCTTATATTCATTGTTATGTATTTATATATAAAATATATAAATATCATATATGTTATGATGCCTTGTTAAAGACTTAGCTTTTAATTATTACAGACTTGTCATTTGAATATTTTATTAAATTCATAACAGGTAACATTCTAGGGTTAATTCTGTAAATCTTCAGATTATATTCCTTTTTTTTTTTTTTTTGGGTCCTGTCATGGGGCCTGAACTCTGGGCCTGGGCGCTGTCCCTCAGCTCTTCAGCTCAAGGCTAGTGCTCTACCACTTGAGCTACAGCGCCACTT